TTTGTCCGCCACTCGTTGGGACTGGGGGTGGAGAAATGGAGAATTTGTCAAATTTGTATACTATTCCTATTCATGTAAAATATAGATTATTTGAAGTATCTTCTTTCCTCTGACAAACATTGAACCTCAGAATTTTTCTTTGACTCTTCACGGGGCTGCCAAGGGGATGGTGATGTTCCAAACGTTTTGCTTCATATTCTACCCAAACTATTCCATTTTCTATATACAATAATTATTTCACATATTCTTCCTACTAGCTGAACAAAACTTTCACAATCATTTTCAATCTTTCTTTGGGGATGATGACTCAAACCTGTTCTTCGCGTTTAACACTAGGTTCACGGAACGCGTCAAATTCACGCATATTGGCTTAGAAATATTATTTTGTAAATGTTTACGCCGATTTTAATGCGATCACACTGACATATACTCCAATTACCTACTATTAAATCTCCAGTTTCCAGTTTCTAAATAAACGAGCATCGATTCTTTTAGAAATAATAGAACGAAGACAACAAATGCCCGTAAACCTAGTGTTAACACAGATCTCATAATTTCTATAAAATTTCAATCTATTATTTACTATAATCTGTTAATCATCCAAGTAGTGGAAACAGGTTGCAATTGTTCATTATCGATAAGGGGTGGTATTGAAATCGAAACGGCCGCTGAAAAAGTGAAGTACAATTTATTATCATGCGCAGCCATGTTGACATTCGGTGCACCATTGCGAAAATAATTCCAAGTACAATAATACGCGCGCCACGCTCCGGAAGTGACGTAACCGCGGCGGACCCGCGCGTTCTCACTCTATAAATACGTCGTAAATAAAATATATATATATATGTATATATGTGTGTGTATATATATATATATATGTATGTATATATGTATGTATGTATGTATGTATGTATGTATGTGTGCATGCATGCATGTATGTACGTATGTATGTATATACATATTTATATGTATGCGCGTATAATCTGTACAACCTGCGGACACACGACCCTACAAAATAACTTCTATCTAATCGTTAAATTTTCCGTCGAGTCTTGAATCGTCAACCCTTCCGTGGTCCTTAAACTTTTATTCACACAATAGTTTTCATCTTACACACTTCTTCCGGCGAATAATAATAAAACTAATAATAATAATAATAATAATAATAATAACAACAGTAACAATAATTACAAAATTCAGAGATCACATCGGGTCGGTGTTAAATAAACAATATTTTCAATGTATAAAATAGGGGGGGATAGTTTACAGGGGGACGACTGTTTCTTCGAGGAGAAATCAAGATTTCATTTCCGTCGAGGGAAATTACATTGTCCAACGGATTTCGTCTGAAATACGTTCGGATGGATAACTTTCGTTCACTCGAGACGATTGGGAAAGATAATCAGCACGGAAAGTCTCCCGATCGAACGCGAAGGGGAGGTAAGTACCTTGTGTCTCATCAACCGGAAGTAACGTCCGCAGGACCGTGGACAGTAGAGCAAACGGAGATGTTTCGTTATTGAGCAATCTAAGACGTGAAGTAAGAAATGCGGTTGGACGAAATGCGACGGCTCGTTTGATGTTCCGTTAACGCTGGAACTACCAACTTTGCGAAATTAAACGACTTCACCTTTCCCGCACGTTGCAGTGATATATTTATTGATATCTCGGTAGATCTGCGCGTTAGAGTGCGCGCTAACGCGTTCACGCCGACGTGTACCACCGGTGGCTCACGGTAGGATATCATGTTAGACAGTTTTATTGATGGCTCGTTAGACGGTAGCATGAAATATGTGGTTCAAATGGTTTGGTAATTAGAAAACATTGCCATACAGTTGAGAATTAACCCTTTGAACTAGGCTCCAATATTGCACCAGTTATGATATTAATCATTTTAATGAATCGTGAAGAAACTACCCTAAAATTATTCGATTTTCCACAAATTTTGTGCTAAGGAAAATAAAAGATCGAAGAAATGTTGCATTTCTAATTTTCGCTAGGAATACAAAAATTAGTTGCAGTTGCTGATTACAAAACAACCTGGAGTGCTAAGGGTTAACTTATCGATCGTTTCGATATTTTCATCAATTTCGAGAATTCGCCAAATGGGAGTGGAAAACACCGGTGTGAACGCGTTGATCGATCAGTTTGATAGTTCCGGTGTTAAAAGTCGGAAAAGTGCGACGTAGCGGCAGATTAGATCGAGAAGCCAGCAAGTTTCAAATGTAATTCGAAAACGTTCGTATGAACCGTTCCGATTCTTCCGAGAATATCCGAATAATTCGATCTCCGTGCAGAGTCATAGAATTCGTCTATGGATCTCGCGAATATCTCTCGAAACGTTGATCCTGTCTCTACGATTGTTGTTCTAGCGACAAGAAGAGGAATGTGACGGATACATTTTCCTGCCCAACAAAACCGTGTATCAAAATCCTCGTTGGACCTCGCGACTCGCCTCAGCGAGGAGCCTACCTAAAAAGAAGCGTCGAAGGGGTTCTTCCGGTCTACGAAAATAGACGGAGCAGCGGGTAACCGGAAACCAAGGACGGAAATCGTTCTACGTTGCCGTGGACACGAACGGAACGGACTAGAAATGGAACCTGTCCCGAAAAGATACTCAACTCTAAACCGTTTCTACTTGTCTTTGTAAATTGCCGTTTAAGAGAAAAGAGCGGGTGATCAATAAAGAAAAAGAAGAAGAAGAAGAAAAAAAGTAAATTCCGAATCCCTTTTCAATTACTTTCCCTGTCTTGGATCGACGATAGCGGATAAATCGATCGAGCTTCGAAGCGTTTCGCTCGACTCCCTACGCCCTAAATAAAATAAATACGTGTCGGAATACTTTTGGTAAAAGTAAATGCCGCTCGATCGTTCCTCGACCAAAAATACTCTCCGCGCTCGAGTCTATACTTAAAGCGCTAAACAGCCGGCTGACTCGCGCGAGCGTAATCCTACGTTACATGTCTCGTTTTTACACGCTGATTGACTGTCTTAGGCGTGCTAAAGAAGATATTGCTACTCTAATACCGTCGAAGACGTAATTTCTGCTCGGCGCTCGGGTGTCTGACGTGTTTGAACGCGTTTGAATCGCTTCTGAACTATTTCCATCGCCTTCGGGCGGTTCTAAATGACTTCGGAAGCTCTCGATACTATTCTCGACGCGCATCGAGCTCGTTCGACGGTTCTAGAGACTCTAAACGTCGTCAAACTTGAAGAAACTTCAACGTTATTCAAACGTTCACGCGTCGGAAATCATTTGAAGCTCGTGGAAGTTCATTCTGAGGTTTTAAAATTCATCGTAGAAGCGCGTTTGCGGATGTTTGAAGCTGTTTGAAGCTGTTTGAAGCTGCCAAACACGTTCGAACAAGTCAGAAATCACTCGAGCACACCGAGAACCTGAAGTAACTCTCCCGGACTCCGCAAAACAATATCACACCACTCGCGTGTCTCAAACCTCTCCACACACCTCCACGAAACGAGGCGAAACTAAAACCGAGCGTCTGGAGGATAACGGCTACTCAAACTATACACTCCATCGAACTTAAGCGAATACTACATCCTCCGGAATATCGTACGCGACACAGTAATCCCTCCGTGCACCGAATCGCGTCGCGAGTCTCGCGTTAAGTACGAAAACGCGTCGCGTGCCGAGAGAATCGACCGGAAAAACGCCGGTCGTATTGATACAAACATCCTCGAGCACATTGAGTCACTTGACCCTCCTCGATCTCTCGGTCTCTTACCCCAAACGATCGATGAATTGCCCCAATTTCCGTTTCCTCGTTCTCTTAATTTACATTCTACGACGAAGATCCTTAATCAATCGAATGTTCAGTGACCTTTTTAGAAAAATATTTTTTGTCCGACGATCCGAGAGAACTCCGAAGGACTCCGTGACTCAGTGCGCCGTCTCTCAAATGAGCCGCGATCGGAAACATCCGCGACGGAATGTTCGCGTTGCAGCCATCTTTGTCTCTGGCTGGAGTCTAAGACCGTTGAGCGAAATGAAAGAAAACGTTGGCCGAGCTCCGTGCGAACGCAAAACGAAATTCTGTGGCCCGAGACCGTCGGACGCAGCTTTTCCTTCGTGTTCGTTAACGTTTCGAGCTCGAAGTTCGTGTTCCCCGTTGGTTTCACTGGAATGATCCGTTCGCGGACAGACGCGCCTGCAATCTCGGGCCTCGCGAACTCGCTAGTCTCCTCGCAGCTCTCCTTGGCTACTTCCGGCTCCTGTGAACCACTCGAATACGCGCCAGAGCTGTCGGTGCTCGGTTCTAGAGTCTTCGTGTCCTAGCTTTCGAGTATCTAGCTCTGGGAACTTTGAAGCTTCTAAATTTTCAACTCTGACCGACGAATCTTACGACCTCTAATTTAAGGGCACATTTTCAACTGTGCCGACTTGAGAATCGCGCAATTTCTAGTTGGAGGATTTTGAAATTTCTGAGTTCGACGCTTGTTGGACGCTTTAATCCTTCGATTAACTTTCGTTTCGTAGTTTTTCTAACTTAGGAAGCTTGCTGGAAATTGGAGATTTCGATTGGATGTTCAGATGCTCGTAGGCCTTCGAGTTTCTCAATTTTACGATCTCCGAACGCTGAGATCTCCAAATTTGTAGATCTCTGACCCTCGAATCTCCGTTTCTTCATAATTCCTTTCAAAATTCTTCGAATCCTCCATGTTCTTATTTTTCGAATTTCTAATTTTCGAGTTTCAGAAGCTTCCGGGCGTCTAAGTTGGCGGTCTTTCGGTTCTAGAGGCTTAAAGGAAGTTTCCCAGCGATTCGATTCGCAAAATGCTCAAGCTGTCGGATCTCCGAGCCGCTGAATTCGAACGGCGGCGGGGAGGAACGAGCGATTCGATTGTTGCCACGCGGCGCGCGGTTGGGGCAAGTCGAAGGAACTATGCGATTGCAATGCCATCGTGTTCCGTGGTAGCGCCGCGGCATTTTTCTCTGTTGTTTCATGGGACGCCGGTGATACGGACCGTCGGCCGGCTCGCCATTAACAGAAACAGGTCCGCTCGTGAACTGGTTCTTGGGATCGTCTCGTGAACACGTTCACTAGTTGGCAGTGTACCCTGTGAACAGACCGTGACTGACTTTTACATCGATTCCATTGAATTCATTATCGTGAGAATGAAATATTCATGGTGTATTAGATAATACTTCCTGTATCGATTATTTTGTATTTTATTTATTTATGAACGGTGTAAGCGATATTTGGCTATAGATATTTGACGAGAAAAGTGAAATATTTTGAAAACTACATAATTTTGACACGTCGAATGCCGCACGATTTTATAGAGTAGAATACACAAAATGGAGAAAATATGATATTGAATCATTCGATTGAATTGCATTATTATTATAGCACGTTCTAGCTGAATGTCATCGCGTTAGGTAGCGTTATTTATAATATAGAAATGTTTTCAAGTAATCGTCGTTTGATTGAGTGAACTGTAGTAATTCAATTTGTCTGAGGGTCACCGGTGACCCCATTGAAATAATTTATCTACTTTTGTATTTTTTATTTACCTTTTGTAATTTATTATTTGTTACCATTCAATAACGAGAAAGGTAAGTGAAAAAATTACTATAAGAACTAAATATTTTGAGTTGATTAGAAACACTGCACGTTCATCCAACTGAATGTCATCGCGTTAGGTAGCGTTATTTATAATATAGAAATGATTTCAAGCAATCATCGTTTGATTGAGTGAACTGTAGTACCTCAATTTGGTTGGAGGTCACCGGTGACCCATGGAATTCACCGTGTTAATTGTCTGCTATTGGTATCTTAAAATAATTTACCTACTTTTCTATTTTTTGTGTATTTTTCTAATTTATTATTTATTTATGTTAGCATTTAATAATAAGAAAGTGAAATATTACTATAGAATTAAATATTTTGAGTTGATTAGATATGATCTTTACGACACAATTTTTCCAATTATTTCATTTACGTTTAATTAACGGGGACACGATGTTTCTGCGCGGATGTTCGACAAGAAAGTCAACTGGACGCGAAGCACTGCACATTCTGAGTACTTTCACTGAACTAAACGATATCTCCGCGAGGCAATTTTTCTAATTTCTCAGTTGACTTCCAGGTAATCAGAATCACGGCGTTTGCGTGGAAATGTTCAGCGTCGAGAAAGGTGAGTGGTCTATAAGCACGCCGCAGACACTTTCAATCCTGTTTACCTGATTTTCACGTTCGAGTTATTGATCACCTCGCCGTCGCAGTTCCACACGCTCAGGCTGGATTTCATGTAGCTGCTGTTCAGCTGACTTTCGGACTGCATGTGCATCGTGGGCATTGCCCGGAATGTGAACTCTCTCGCTCTGTACACCTCGACGAACGGAAGATCGTACTTGAAACAATAAACAGGGCCAGTCAATCGACATTGATCCGAAGTTTCCCGAGCCGAGATTCATAATACGTTTGTTTGCCTTCAGACGATGTCGAGAATATTTCAGACGCGATCGTGTAACTTAACCCTTTGCGGAAGATTGTTTTTAGTACACGAAACCTTTCGCAGATTCTGCTAAATTAAACGCTGAATACCTAAATCATAGAGAATAAGGAAACTGTGCACTGATCTCTTGCTGTTCGAATAGTTAAATCATTTGTTTGCGACTTGGTATTCCAAATATGGAAGTTTGATCTCAAAATGACGACATTCGTCCGCAAAGGGTTAACCCTTTGCACTCGGAAGTTTTTCACTAGAAATATTTGAACACTTTCCGATGAGATAAAATCGATATTTTGTGAAACTAAGTCTATTTTATTTGAATATTTCTCAAAATGATGCATTATAGGAAATATAATATTAAATATCAAGTTTTAGTTTTACTGTATAAAATCAAGTGACGAGTGAGTCACCTCTCGAGTGCAAAGTGTTAATTATCATAATTATCGACTGAAGTAACTTGCAAGTTAAATCTAAATTACAACTAGAATTCATCAATACCTAGTACAACTACACTAGTATATTGTATCATCTATTAAAATAAGAAAAAATCTAATCTAATTTAATTAATGAACCAACGATTAACAATTCTACATGTTCACATTTTACATACCAGGGTTTTCTGTTTACTGGACAGCCTGAGCAACATTCTAATATTATTGAACAGGGAAGTGTGACGGACCAAAATCACGTCGACGCAACCGTCACCGACGTGACAGTGGGGGCTGAATCCCATGGGACTCCTGGAGCAGGCACAGGCCAGATTAGCACCGTTCACCATGAAGAATTTCCCTCTGACAGTCACCCATCCTGAAAGAATGACGTTAATCGGAACATTCTCGTATAAATTGACTTCACAATGAAGATTGACTGCTCACTGGATATTTCTTTGTCTGGTACACTATTGTGCATATGTTGCAAACACCTGCTGCAATTTTTCGTACATCTTGTACTCGTCGCCGGGTGGCAGGGGTCGGACAGTAGCTGAATTTCACCTTCGTAGCCTTTATTCGCGAGGATTTTCTTAAAGCCTGCAACAGAATCGGTCGATGATTTTACAATTGCATTCTAATTTAGAACATATCAGAAAACACTGAAACATAAAATCCTGTAGAACGTCATCAAACGACTTAGCGTTGCAAACATGAACATCTGGTCTCGCTACAGTGACGTTCGTCCGAAAAAGGTTAACTATTAGACGTTAACATTAGAAATATTTCAACGTCTTCTGACGAGATAGAGAGGATATTTTGTGAAACTAACTCGAAATCACACTTACATCGAGGGATAATCTATTTTGTTTGAATATCTCTTAAATTGATGCATTGCACGAAGTTTAACACTAGATTTACGAGCAATTATTGTACAGTTTATTCTATTGTTCCTAGGGAAGTTGATATTCGTTCATTTAGATTTTGGAAATCGTAGATGTAGAAATCAGGATTCATATTCGTGTAATTGGATCAACGAAAACCGATTGAAACATATACCAAACAATGTTTATAAAGTTCAATCTGCGTCAAATTGACTCGTTCCGTAAACCTAGTCTTAATATTAAGTATCAAATTTTATAATTTTACTGTATGAAATCAATTGATAAGTGAGAGTCACCTCTCGAGTGAGAGAGTAATTTTAAATGAAAATTTCGAAAGTGCCTTCTGACAGGTTCGGTGGAAAGAGCGTTGAAGAAATGAAAGACGATGTAATAAAAGTTGGAATAAATAAAAGATAAGGAAGATTCATGCGAGCGGGTCGACTCGATCCACTCACCGGAGTAGTCGTATCTCTGAGGGCCCATCCACCTGAATTTCTCGCTGTCCCGGATCACGTCCCCGAGATACCCATAGCTGAGAACGCTGGCGTAGAGCCTGAGGAGGTTCTGGTCGTTGTGCACGGAGGAAATATCGAGGCCGGTGCTGTCGCCAAAAATGATATGTATCGCGGCGGTCTGCACGTCGGTCGTCCCGTGGAGGCTGTACGCTATCGTGTCGGTGCTACCGCTCGGTATCACGCCAATCGGCAACGGGGGAGTGGGCAGCCTGACCTCCGGGTCGTTCGCGTCGATCTGCTGCTCCTTCGTCGTCCTCAGGACCAGACCGTTTATCACCTCTGCCAAGGTACCGTCCCCGCCGATGCACACTATCGCCTGCAACACGGTATTCAATTTCTCTTTCGAGGAAATTCGGTTTTTATCAGGGCTCGAGAATTCTTAGTTTTTCGGCGATGTTTGAGTTATGCGGATGTGACAGTGTTTTAAAGATTGATCTGACGCAAGGAGTTTCGAAGTGGACGTTGGATTAAATTACTTTGATTTGGGAACTAAAGTATCTAGCTATCAAAATAACGTGATATAGAAGTACCAAGCTACCAAAGAACTAAACTACCAAAGTAACAAGCTACCAAAGTAACAAGCTACCAAAGTACTAAGCTACCAAAGTACCAAGCTACCAAAGCACTAAACTACCAAAGTAGCAAGCTACCAAAGTAACAAGCTACCAAAGTACTAAGCTACCAAAGTACCAAGCTACCAAAGTAACAAG